AGTTGTAGAATTCTGCTGTTCTCGCAGTCGTAGTCGCATTCGCGATGACAGTCGCAGTGGCAACGGAAGTCGCAGTCACAGCCTCGGCCTCAGCCTGCCTCAGCCTCAGCCTCAGCCTGCCTCAGCCTCAGCCTGCCTCAGCCTCAGCCTCAGCCTCAGCCTCAGCCTGCTTCAGCCTCAGCCTCAGTCTGCCTGCAGCCTCGGCCTCAGCCTCAGCCTGCCTCAGCCTCACCCTGCAGCCTGCCTCAGCCTCAGCCTCAGCCTCAGCCTGCCTCAGCCTCGCCTCAGCATGCCTCAGCCTAGCCTCAGCCTGCTTGCCTCAGCAGTCAGGCCTCAGCCTCAGCCTGCCTCAGCCTCAGCATCAGCCTCAGCCTCAGCCTCAGCCTGCCTCAGCTCAGCCGCAGCCTGCCTCAGCCTCAGCCTCAGCCTCAGCCTCAGCCTCAGCCTCAGCCTGCTCAGCCTCAGCCTCAGCCTCAGTCTGCCTTCAGCCTCGGCCTCAGCCTCAGCCTGCCTCAGCCTCAGCCTGCATCAGCCTCAGCCTCAGCCTCAGCCTGCCTCAGCATCAGCCTGCCTCAGCTCAGCCTCAGCCTGCCTCAGCCTCAGCTCAGCCTGCTTCAGCCTCAGCCTCAGTCTGCCTTCAGCCTCGGCCTCAGCCTCAGCCTGCCTCAGCCTCAGCCTGCCTCAGCCTCAGCCTCAGCCTGCCTCAGCAGCTCAGCCCTCAGCCTGCAGCCTCAGCCTTCAGCCTCGGCCTCAGCCTCAGCCTGCCTCAGCCTCAGCCTGCATCAGCCTCAGCCTCAGCCTCAGCCTGCCTCAGCATCAGCCTGCCTCAGCCTCAGCCTCAGCCTCAGCCTGCCTCAGCCTCAGCCTCAGCCTGCTTCAGCCTCAGCCTCAGTCTGCCTTCAGCCTCGGCCTCAGCCTCAGCCTGCCTCAGCCTCAGCCTGCATCAGCCTCAGCCTCAGCCTCAGCCTGCCTCAGCATCAGCCTGCCTCAGCCTCAGCCTCAGCCTGCCTCAGCCTCAGCCTCAGCCTGCTTCAGCCTCAGCCTCAGTCTGCCTTCAGCCTCGGCCTCAGCCTCAGCCTGCCTCAGCCTCAGCCTGCCTCAGCCTCAGCATCAGCCTGCCTCAGCATTCAAAATGTGGCCCGGGAATGGAATTCTGGGAACTCGAAGAACACGAAGTGGCCTACAGTTGGCTCCGGGCATTCAAAATCATGCCCAGGAATGGAGTTCTGGGAACTCGAAGACCGCGAAGTGGCCTACAGTTGGCTCCGGGAATTCAGAATGTGGCCCGGGAATCGAAGACAACGAAGTCTGTAACTGTTTGCTTAGAACGACTTCCGCGGATTTTCCCCGGCACCCGTCCGGCATCCGCCCAGACCCCCCTGGGGAGTCATGATGCTCTCTTTTGAGACCACTAGAAACCTATCAGTCTTCGCTGTTAGGTAGAAATAATACGATCAACTAATACTAATACTAATAATAATGATAATACTAATAATAATACTACTAATACTAATATTATTAAAAACAATAATAATAACAATAATAACAATAATACTAGTAATAATAATAATGATAATGCTAATAATAATAATAATAATAATAATAATGTTAATGAGAATATGAATGATAAGCCAATAATAATGGTAATAAGAAACAAAGCTTCAGACACATACGAACCACAATCGGAGGTGCGCGCGGACACCCAACAATCCCGTTTACGCCGTTTTGTGCTCCGTCGGCCGGAATTCAGTGCCGCTACCCCTCCTCCCTCCCCCTGCCCCATCCTCCCTCCTCCTCATCCTCATCCTCCTCCTGGCCCTTTCTCCCCCCCTGTTTCTTCGGTTTGACCCTTCCTCTGCCACTACGCCTCCTCCCGCTCCCGCTCCCGCTCCCGTTTCCGCTCCCGCTCCCGCTCCCGCTCCTCATCCTTTCTCTTCCTCCTCCTCCTCCGCTTCTCCTCATCCTCCCCCTGCTCTTCCTCCTCCTCCTCCTCCTCCTCCTCCTCCTCCTCCTCCTCTCCTCCTCCTCTCCTCCTCCCTCCTCCTTCTATCCTCCTTCTATCCTCCTCTCTCCTCCTCCCCTCATCCTCCCTCCTCCCTCCCTCTCCTCCTCCTCCTCCTCGTCCTCTCCTCGTCCTCCCTCTTTCTTTTCCTCTTTCTCCTGTCCTCCTCCTCCTCCCTCCTCCTCCTCCTCCTCCTCCGCCTCCTCCTCCTCCCTCCTCCCTCCTCCTCCTCTTTCTCTTCTTTTCTCCTCTTTCTCCTCGTCCTCCTCCTCGTCCTCCTCCTCCTCCTCCTCCTCCTCCTCCTCCTCCTCCTCCTCCTCCCCCCGCTCCCTGCTCCCTCCGTGTGCAGGAGCCGTGACCTCCGGACAGCCTGTGCGCGGGCTGGGCGCCTCGCGCTGCCGCAAAGGCGGGCCGCGGCAAAGCGCGCCGCGCCAGCGCCGCCGACCG